GGATGCAGTTCTAGGGCACTCGGTTTGCCAAGCGGCAGTTCTCGCAATTCCTTGTATGTACTCAGGTATCGTGATCGAATCAAGAATGAGAGCGATACGACCGCAACGCAGAACATAAACGCCAGAGTATAGAAGTTGAGCTGTAAAGCATTGCGTCAGAGGAACGACAAAGATAGTGCCTAGATGCCTACTGTCAACGTAAAAGAGTAGCTCAGTATTGCGTATATCCATTTCGGAAGAGATAACACTAGAAATCCTATCGATGCCTTGACCCAAGTCAATAGCCAGACTGCCGGTTGGATCAGCTTCGCACCCAAAGAGATGAGCCAGAGTCTCACAAATCACCCAGAACGATGCAGATAGCAACGAGAGAAGAGGATGAAGCTCATGCTTGTCCTCCATGATTATTCAAGATTTTTGAGCGAGGCGCGAGGTGGCCTGCTACGGATGCGGTTCTTGCTTTCTTCCACAGCCGTGCTGCCACAAGGGGCGAGTCTCAGTCCTCTCCACCAACCAACACATTAGTCAAGAAAAATGTGGTACGTATTATTCTATAAATTCGTACACGACGATGGATCCGACCGTCGCCGTAAGTTTATGACCACGTTCGCTGAGTGCATGCATCGCCGCCACCCCCACATATTTTAGGTGCGACAACTGCTTGCTTGTACTGCCATTGGTAAGGTCTACCAGGACCACAACTCATTCAATTCTCACCGAAACTCCTAGCGGGCGGGCGCTATTGCTTGGGCCGTCGTCATTGCGGTTGGTCCCCTCCGAAGCCATGTCTGATTTATGCTTAATTGTCAAACCCGCACCACACAGGCTTACAGCTTAGCTGGAGGACTCTTTCTCTTGATGGCTGGCCAATACATTTACTTTGTCTATCCTGTATGTAAAATTCTACCTAAAACAAGTCGAGGAAGGCAAGACCGTTAACCTCCCCTATAACAGGAATGGTTGGTATCGTAATTGTAATCAAGTCAGACTCCACTTCATGCTATCACTAGGTTCATCTACGGCGGTGTCGGAATGGGAGTTTGTGCCGTTGCTTGTATCAATGCGATCACACTCTCCAACGTTCGTTATTTGCCGCTGCTCGCGTTTGTCCAAGCTCTGACGCCACCTTTTTCTCTATTCAGCGATCCTATACCTGGTCTCGTGTTTGTCATTTCCTCTGGCCTTTCATCATCGTGATCTGCGGTGTCCGAGCCATCTTTATGATTTGGGAGCTCAATCGCGGGTGGGTCTCAAGCTATCACGATGCCATCATCCGTTTGTACTGATTCTAGCCACGATGACGACCCTGAATGTATGCCCAAATTCTGTCCTGCCACGCAATTTTTTAGACGCGACAAGATCATTTGGGAATGCCAAAACGGAGGTCAGCATTGGGGTGACACTCCAGAAGTCGGTTACAGTTCAACTGTCAAGTTTCCCAGTGGAATTTGCGGACCTGGATTCCAAACTCTACTCACCGCTTTCATCGTCTCTCTCCTGGTAGACTTGGGCTTCCAGGTATGTGCCTTTCCCTCTCGCTTATTGGCCCGGGTGAACCAAACCGTTGGATATAGATGTACATGTTCTTCCTTAATTGGCGATTCATGAAGCGATTACAGCGGTATACCACAATGAAGGGTCCCTATGGTGGTGGGTAGTCTTCTTTTGCCTCAAAGTCAATCAGAACTGTGCCTGTGTGGTCACATTCATCAGGGACTGAATGGCGGGAGATGCCCCCCAGTTTATCTCGGTATATCCCCTTCCTGATGCAGAAGATTGCCATGTTGTTACTTTGAGTGGCGTCCAACATCAGTGTAGAGACGTGACACAATTCAAAGCTTGGGCCATGACAGCAACAGACTTTTTGTTGCACTGTCGAAAGAGATTGAATCCAGATTATGGTGCCACCCTGAGAATCTATTGGATTGCATTCGGATAGCTTCCGCCGTTTATCTAAACAACTTTGTTCGAGTGACCCACTGCTGACCTACCTTCTTTCTTTTAGCAGGAAACTACTATACTGCATAGTGGTCAGCAGAACGCTTCTCGGTTAACCTCTAGCCGGCGCTTGCATGGGACTCTGTAGCACTCAATTTTCTAACTCGCTGATCAACATTGCCCTCTGGACACTCTGGACTTCCTCACTGCTGACTTATCGATTTTATCGGCTCGACGTAACGACTCCATTTCCCCCTGATGACCATCCAACCTACTGTTTTCTACCACC